GGACCTGAAGGAAGTTCATGGTAAAAGGGGGTAAGCTTTGACCACAGGATATGGTAGAACAAGGACTGTGGGACAGAAATGCTGCTTATGTGACTTTTTCACTTACTGAGCAAAGAGCTCTGTGCAGGGTGCTGGATGATTCAGAGAGTGAGAGGAGCCCTTGTAGCACATCCTCCACCCAGTGAGCCCACCACTCAGTGGAGGGACCAAGGAGAACACAAGGAGCTGGGGAATAAAGGTGAGTTTCCTGGGTTTGAAAGGGTATGGTCTCCTCTGGGTATAGCAGCAGGCCTTCTCCCTCCAAGGGGACCTGAGCCTGGAGAGGTGGTAACCACAGCCCCATAGTCCCTTTCTGAGGGATGGAATACTTCAGATATGCCACCTAGGGACATTCTGGAGAGATCCAGGCAAGGGCACCTGAAAATATGATAGTGACACAAAAGATGCAAAGCACTCAAGCTCTTGGCCACTGAGCCCCATTAATTCATTGAGGGTCTGGGGCCTCAGCTTCCCCATTTGTGAATGGGGAACAGGCCCCAGCCCTGCCTTCACAGTGCCCCTCCTTTCCCTGTAACTTATCCCCATGGTGGTAGCAGGGCTGCCTGGAGCACACCCCAAAGCTTATGGATCTTCAGGGCAAGGGGTATACAGCTGGGGTGAGGAAGTGCACTGGGGAGCCTGCAGGTTGGACGGGTGCCATCCCACACCTCAGCTCAGTTAGTTTTGCAAATAATCTCATTTCACTGCCCAGGAAAAGAGGATCAAACAACTGTCCATGGCATGTGCTTTGCACCTTGCCCAAGGGTGTATGCTTCCTAAGCAGATCTGCACATCATCCTGCAGATAGTACCAAGGAAGTGACATGCCTCCCAAGTCCATGGTGATGGGGTGAATCCCCTGATTTTAGTAGGATAGGAACGATTGTGCGGGGGTTGGCATTAGGCTGCCAAAGCCAGGACTAGCTTTATAGGAGGGCCACACGAATTGATCATCAGAGGCCCAGACATGTCCCAGAGACAGCAGAGGGAGAGCCCAGGCTAGGGAACAGGGGTAACAAGAATGGGAGGTAGGCGACTAGGGCAGTGGGAACAGCCCTGTTGGGCGGGGCAGCGCGGGTCTCGCCCGCTTGCCCCAGGCGCAGCACTGCATGCGTGAGGCAAGGGCGTCGCCCGGAGGCCACGGGCTTGGGGGCCAGAGAGGGGTGCCTCAGTCCCCGCCCCCACTAGCCGCGCCGGGTCGCGCGTGGGCGCGGCGGGCGCCGATTGGCTGGCGGGAGCACGGGCGGGGCGGGCGGTGGCGGCGCGGAGGGGCGGGTCACCCCGCAGCCCGGCCTCGGCCTCCACCGCTCGTCGCCGCGCCCCGCCCGCGCGCCCGCCGCCGCACGTCCCCCGCTGGCGGCCACCATGAGCACAGGCCTGCGGTACAAGAGCAAGCTGGCGACCCCAGGTGAGCCCGGCTCCCGCCCGCGTGCCCGCGCGCGCCTTTGTCTCTGACGCCTGCCCGCCTCTCACCGTGTCTCTCCGTCTCTCTCCCACCCGCCCGCCTGGACCCGTCCGGACCTGGACCCGACCCCGACCGCGACCCCGGCCCGAACCCGGCAGAGGACAAACAGGTACCTGAGCTCCGCCTCCGTTCCCCTTTTAGCAAGACCGGCTGACTGTCACCTATTGTGGCACGGATGCTGCTGGCTCCCAGGCACGACCCCGCCCCCGCCAGCCGTCATCTGTCCCTGTCGCGATAATCGATTGTCTGTCAGAGCGGCGTTGCCGCGCCTGGAGCTGAGCAGGGAAGGAATGGGCTCCATGCCTGGCCCCCTGACCCTCACAGCAGGAGCCTGGTCCCCTCCTCAGGATGGGAGGAGGGGCTCACGGTATCTCTCCCACTGGTCCAGCRTCAGCATCTCCTTGCCGACCTGGCTCAAAGGCCATGTGCAGGAGGTCTTGAGTGAAGCAATGGTCGTGGAAGGCCACAGGCTGGGGAAGAGGGGTCTCTGGGTCCACTATCCAGTGCATGATCCCTGACCACTACCATGGGGAACCTCTGGTCACCCCACTTCACACCTCTGCATCTTTATACTCCTCTCCCGGCCACACACAAATTCATATACTCTAGTCTGTAGCTGGGCCTCTTCCTAGACTGGGAGCCTCCAAGCCTGGTCTGAGTCATCCCAGGGACCAGAAATGGTCTTCAAACCCAGTGGGTAGGATAGGCTTGTGACCTTCTAAAGGGACTGGCCTGGTCCCAGCCCTCTGAGAATAGGAAGTTGACCTGGGCATCCCCTGTGAAAATTCAACCAGGCTGGGRATTAAACCAAGCTGTTGTGACCTGAGAGAGGGGAGGGGAATGGGTAAGCAAGTGAGATAGGGGCTCCCACTTGCCCTGCTGATGCCCTGCTGGTTTGAGCTCAGCCAGGTTTTGGGGAATGAAAGGCCTAATTCTGGCACCACAGGAGCCATGGCAACTCCCATCCGAGATGGAGTTTCGAACATAGCACTCACAGCAGGGAGGGAACCTGGACTCCTAGCCCAAGGTACAGCAGGCAGGGCAGAACAGCTGGCAGGTGGTGTGAACTGGGAGTCTGCTGACTGCCCAGTGCCAGTCTTCTGGCAGGGACATGCCCCACCCAGGGACTGATGAGTCTCATTGAGAGGGACTCCCCAGGGAACCTGAGTAGAGAGCTGCCTCCCCATCACAGCAGGTTAGACAAAGCCTGAGATGCAGAGATGTGCTGCCAAGCTATTGTTCAAGGGAGAGGGAAAGAGTGGAGGATGCTGAGACCAACCTGCTCAGCTTCTCCTGGGACTCTGAGTGACCCAATCTTGGCCTGAGGGCTCTCTGAGTCACCAGGCTTGGGCACCTGCTGTTCCGCACCAACTAGGTTTTCTTGCCTATTGCTGCCAGGGTGGAGACCCCCCACACACTCCTGCTGAATTGTAAGCCCCTGCAGTCCTGTATCTGCCCATCCTTTGGTGGTTAGCTAGGAGCCAGCCAATCCCATACCCTGCCCTAGGCTCAGAGGGGGAAGGTATCTCAGAGGCACATGGAGGGAGCCACTAGATGGGGCCAGGTGGTCAAGTGTTTGGAATGTACCCCAGTGAATCTGGGGGAGGCCAGAAGCACATAATAGCTTCAGTGTGACCACTGAAGTCACTGAAGACCAATTGAGTCTCAGCTTCTCCAGACCTCCTTTTTACTCTACACAAGAGGTTCAGAGAAACAGTTGGGGGGGGTGTAACTCTGTCAGCCCTCTATGTCCCCTTACCTCCTCTCAGGCAGCAGTGGGGGGCTCTGTTGGCTTTGTTGCTGCTTCCAGAACTGACTTGGGTGATTCTAAGAATGGAAATGCCTAGAGAGTCTCAGACACCAGGAGGAGGTGGGCGCAGCTGTCATACAGCTCCGGAAGCCCTGAGGAATATTTGTTGTGCCTCAGTGACTAGAGAAAGAGGGTGGCAGGCCCCTTCCCTTGGGACTCCCCCACTGAATGCACAAGCTTTGACTGGGCCTAGCTGGATGATGGGGCAGGCAGGTCAGGAGCTAGGAGTGAGAATTTTTCCCTCTTGACATGGACTTCTTAAAAGCCTGTGTCTTCCCTTTGGGGAAACTGTGGCAGTCTGAGACCAGCAGGCTCTTTATCAGGGTGTGGAGGATTGAGACTTCCTCCCAGCCAGAGGCCAAGGCCAGAGCTTTCTATGTTTCTGGATATGATGGGGGGTCCAAAATACCAGACTCTTTTGTGCTTGCTGAGCTGAGGCCTATGTCTAAAGTGGACAACACTGGGATAGAGATTGGATGGGACTCAGCCCAGAGGTTTCCTTCAGGACAGGACCACAGGAGGCTGGTAGCGTGAGGAGGCTTTCTGGGAAGCAAGACTGGTGGAGGGGGTGGAGGTGGTTAAACTGGGAGAGCTAGGGGCCTTGGGCTGCCCCCTACTTTGGGATGAAAGGCTCTTTGTTCCCAGCTGTGGACCCACCCTCTTCCTCAGGTACCAGGGGCTCCAGGCCCAATAGCAGGACCAGGGCCTGGACAGTGGGTWGGCAGCCCCTCCACTGGGGGAGCCAAGAAAGAAAGGCCTGCCAGAAGGAGGGGTTGGTACTGCTTGGGGGAGGGGCATAATGACCAGGGACACACCCAGTCATCCTGGAAACTTTCTAGGCTCCTTTCCCTACTCTCCCCCACCATCCCCAGGATGCACTTATACTGATTCTGATGGCATTCTGGAGGTGGAGGTTAAGGAAAGTTTTGGTGACCCACAGAGAATGCTTTCCTGGCCCAGCAGACTTACAAGTTTCCTGGAGTGGCCATACCAGAGTGAAGGCCTAGCTGGACCAAGCTCTCCAATTCTGCCTTTGCCCAGTCCAGTGGGTCAGAGCTGGTGGAAAGGCTCCAAGGAGGGGAAGGGAGTGCCCACTGGGCCAGTGGACCCTACTCTATACTCCCACCTCACTTCTTATGGCAGGGGCCGGCTGGGGACTATGGTGGTGGCATGCATTGTTGGCGACATTTTGCTGAGGTTGGCCAGGTCTTCCAAGACTGGAGGGAAGGGGGTCCTCTGTATGTAATCTGGCCGCCTCCACCCGCCCTGTGCCTTTCACCCACCCTAAGCCTCTGCTGGGGGTGGGTGATGGGCAGGCCGAGCATGGGCATCACAGAGAGGTGGGCTCTGTCCTCCACGGGTTCCCCGCTTATCTGGGGACACCATGCCGGGAAAGAATTCCCTAAGCACACAAGTAGCTCATGCGTGCGCACCACAGTAGGTCAGCACCAAGGAAGCAGGAATGCTAGAAGTGATGGGTCGGTGGGTAGTGGTTAGGGGCTCGTGACACCACCAGGAGGTTTTTAGACGGAGCCTGCGAAGAGAGCACGCGTGTTGAATTGGGTTGGGTCCCGCACGGTTGCGCGTGGGTCGGGAGCGGCCCCTAACGCCCTCTGGCGGGCGGAAGCCGCGCTGCGTCTCGGGGGATACGACGCTCGGTAGCCACAGGCACCCCTCCCACCCTCGATCCGCGTGCGGACCTGGCCCCTGCCTGTGATCTCACTGTTCAGACTCCTGGACCAAAGCCGCGGGTGCCTCTGCGGGGCTCCTTGTCCACGCGTCGCCGCAGCCCGCCCCTTCGCCTCTGCTGGGCCCTGCCCACCGCAGCAGTTTCCCAGTGGCTCCGCCTGCGGCCCAATTTCCAGGCGACTGTTTCCCGGCGACGGCGGGCGGGGCGTCTCTGCTACCCCCGGCATTGAGCTCCCCCGAAGCCCCGCCTCTGGTTCGGGTGCGGGAGCCAGGCCTGCCGAGGCTGCGACGCCGCCACAACTCAGGGCAGGCCCGCAGAGGCAGGGGGATGGCTCGCAAGGCCTTTGGGGTCAGCGGCCCCCAAAGTTGGCGATATCCCCTCTCTGGGCCTCAGTTCCCGTGTCTGCAAAACGGGAGCGAGAACAAGATTTAAGGGCGGTAACACGCGTAAGTCCCTGGCGAAAGCCCTGCTCGGGTTGGCCCGGTCTGGTCTGGGGTCTGAACGTGGCCGACAGGGTCTGGAGGGTTGCCACGATGGACTCGCTGGCAGCACCCCAGGACCGCCTGGTGGAGCAGCTGCTGTCACCACGGACCCAGGCCCAGAGGCGTCTCAAGGTGTGTGTGTGTGTGTGTGTGTGTGTGTGTGTGTGTGTGTGGAAAGGGGGTGGAATGTGGGTCAGTGTGTGCAAGCTTGCTTGACCAGGACCTGGGAGCTCCGGAACATGGTAGGGCCCAGCAAGACGCATGTCCCCTGGTCGTGGATACCAGGGACCCTTTGGTTGGGAAGGCTCCAGGCAATTGTCTATAAATAGCCCCTGCTCTGTGCTGCAGCCAGCCACCCCCAGTGCTGGATCTGAGCCAGATAGGCCTCCCACCCTCAGTACTCTGGGAAGAGGTAAGTGTTGAGGCCTGGGCTTCTCCTGTCTGTGAAGGGCCTTGTGTGTCTGAGGGGTCTCAGTCCTGATACCTTCAGACCACAAAGGGAGCCAGGGAAGACAGTTGCTAATGCCTACTGAGGCCTGGCATTCCCCTATCCTCCCCGTAGTCTTGGGTCCCTGCAAAGCCTCTTGCTGAAGCTGGGGAAGGAGTGCCTTTTCCTGCTACCCCACTCACCAGCCTTCCCACCTCCAGGCCTTTGTCCACAAATCCTCACCTCATTTTTGCCAGTGAAATGCCCCATCCTAGGTGAGGACTGTGCCATCTGCTGTCTCCTCATCCTGAGCAGGGTAGAGGATAGGGCACTGGGCTGCTGCAAAGAAACTCCAGAGTGCCACTGACCTTCCCCAATCCTGCCCCCAGGATATCGACAAGCAGTACGTGGGTTTCGCCACACTGCCCAACCAGGTGCACCGCAAGTCAGTAAAGAAGGGTTTCGACTTCACGCTTATGGTGGCTGGTGAGTGGGCCAGGTTGCTGGGTGGAGTGGCTGGAGCCTCTGGCCAGCCAGGCTTAGTTGTGGGGAACCCATACCTAACTCAATTCCTTCACTGTACCTGTGGCCAGGTGAGTCAGGCCTTGGGAAGTCCACACTGGTCCATAGCCTCTTCCTGACTGACCTGTACAAGGACAGGAAACTGCTCAGTGCTGAGGGTAAGTGGCCCGCACACAGTCCTGACACTGATTTACCAACCCTATCCTATAATCCTTTGAAGAGCACCCTTCTAGGTCTACCCTCCTTCTCATGTTGTGCATCCCTATTCAGAGTCCAGAAAGAGTGGCCCAGATCACAGTCATATTGTATGGCCAAGGTCAAGGCACTAAGATAGATGAGGACAAGAGTCCTGGCTGCCTGGGGTAGGGCGTAAAGGGTTGGAGTGGCCCCATACTAACAATGCCTTCCTCCCCATCCCCCTGCAGAACGCATCAGTCAGACAGTAGAGATCCTGAAGCACACAGTGGACATTGAGGAGAAGGGGGTCAAGTTGAAACTAACCATTGTGGACACACCTGGTTTCGGGGATGCTGTCAACAACTCGGAGTGGTGAGGAAAGCCTGACTGGGGAATGAATCCCTGACCCAGCCAATCCCAGCCTCCCTGTGGCCAGTGGGTGGTCCTGACACTGAATTAATGCTCCCTCCACCAGCTGGAAGCCCATCACTGATTATGTGGACCAGCAGTTTGAGCAGTATTTCCGTGATGAGAGTGGCCTCAACCGCAAGAACATCCAAGACAACAGGGTGCACTGCTGCCTGTACTTCATCTCCCCCTTTGGGCATGGGTATGTCCTAGAACCAGGCTTAGGGCCCATCCCCCTATAGTGTATTCCCATGGCTGTACCTATCACTGCACCACCACTACCCTTACCCCTTACCATGCACATCCCTGCCCCTGGCTGCTCTCTGCAGGCTGCGGCCAGTGGACGTGGGTTTCATGAAGGCTTTGCATGAGAAGGTGAACATCGTGCCCCTCATTGCCAAAGCAGACTGCCTGGTCCCCAGTGAAATCCGGAAGCTGAAGGAGCGGGTGAGCCTGCTGTGACAGAGGGGACTTGGCCAAAGACTGTGGGGCCGAGAATGCTGGGAAAGCTGGCCAGCCCCATTTCTTGACAGCTCTTGCCCCTTCACTGCAGATCCGGGAAGAGATAGACAAGTTTGGGATTCACGTATACCAGTTTCCGGAATGTGATTCAGATGAGGATGAAGACTTCAAGCAACAGGACCGGGAACTGAAGGTAAAATACGCAGTGGGGAGGGGATGGAGATAGCCAGGGATAGAGAACTGGAGGCCACACAGGAGCCAGAGTAGGGCTAGACATCCAAGTCCAATCTGATGAGGGCAAGAGTCATTTGTCCTGGAGGTAGAAGACCTATACCCCCATGGGTAAACAGCTAAAGAGTTCAACCCAGTTGTCATAAAGCTGTGACATCCCCTAACTCCCATAGTGGTGGCTTTGGGTGCCCCAGCTAGAGTGACAATTAAGACCCACCAAGGCCAAGGGCAGAGATCCACTGGGTCAATAGAGCATGGACAGGGGCATCGTACCACAAGGTATGGGCTCAGCCTGTGGGGAGAGAAAGGGAAGGAAGCTAGATTGGTGGTTCTTGATGTGGACGGGGTCAGGAAGCAAGAGTTGGTTGGGCACAATCTGGCAGAGGCCTAAGGGTGTGCACTGCACAGACCATGGCTACAGTGGGCAACAAAGATGTCAAAAGAAGAATAATATCAGGTTGACTTTGGGGGGAAGTGGATAATGGTGATGCTAGAAGGGCATGCTTCGGGGTGCTAGCCCCCACGCCCTCCCCAACCACTAAGCCTGCGCTCATATGGTCTGGGCGTGAGCCCTTGCTCCCCTCCCCCAGGAGAGTGCTCCCTTCGCTGTTATTGGCAGCAACACAGTGGTGGAAGCCAAGGGGCAGCGGGTCCGGGGGCGACTGTACCCCTGGGGAATCGTGGAGGGTGAGTTGATGCATGGGGCACCATGTACTGGGTGGGAAGGCTCCCTGGGCAGATGCCCACCCACAGCCCACTTCTGCCCCATAGTGGAGAATCAGGCACACTGCGACTTCGTAAAGCTACGCAACATGCTTATCCGCACTCACATGCACGACCTCAAGGATGTGACATGTGATGTTCACTACGAGAACTATCGCGCACACTGCATCCAGCAGATGACCAGGTGAGCCATCCCCACACATTGGAACTTGATCTCACACCTCTTGGCCCTGGCCATGTCTCTATAACTGAGGGCTGGTTGGGCCTAACCCCCAAATCAAATCCACAGTGCTTGCTCTCCCTAGAATTAGCTCAGGGGTTTTGTATCCCAGCCCATCACTCTGAGCCTCCTAGCAGCCATTTCCCTCCTTTATCACCCCCCCCACAGCAAATTGACCCAAGACAGTCGCATGGAGAGTCCCATCCCCATCCTACCACTGCCCACCCCGGATGCTGAGACTGAGAAACTCATCAGGATGAAGGATGAGGAGGTTGGTGGGAGCTGGGGGTGGAGCCAGGACTGGATGTGACTGCCTGAAGGGGTGGGGGTAGGGTCTGGCCTCTCCCGCTACCTTTCTCACCTGCCCTCCCTCGGTTCTCCACATCCCTCAGTTAAGGCGCATGCAGGAGATGCTGCAGAAGATGAAGCAGCAAATGCAGGACCAGTGACCCCTGTCCCAGCTCCACGTCGCCAGTCGCCACGGATAGACCACCTGCACCGGCTGGCCCCTCCCATCCCTGGACCCCAGATTGGCCTGGATTCCATCCTGGATTCACCTGGATCTCAGTCGGGCCTGGACCCAACCCTAAACCCAGAGGGGCCCTGACCGGACTTTTCCCGACCCAGAGACAAGGAGCCACAACCCCATATGACCCTAATTTATTCTCAGTATCAACCCCTCCCAGGTCATTTGTATCTGTTTTTGAGGGGCCTGGACAATAGCCCCGTCCCAACTGGTCTTGGGGGAGCAGGCACTAAGTTGAGCACAACTTCTGAGATCACCCCCATCCCCAAGAAAGTCACAGCAACCAGATTCCAGGCCTTGTTCAGGCATGCACCTTAACCAAGGCAGAGGAAAGAAATGGATCTCCAAGGTTCTTGGCCTGTTCCCCTAATCCAGTGCTGCAGAGCACACTTTGGAGTCCTCTGTGCTGTTCCCATGGGCCATGCAGCCTATGCTGATTCCCTACTTTGTGTAGAAAGGGGCTTCCCTTACCACCTCACACAAGGTGGGGACCAAAGTAGGCAGGGTTGGGCACCTGAAGCAATTCGGAAACATCTAGACCAGAAGGCTGCTGGTAGGGAGAGCAGGCAGAGGGTGGGCAGGGGACCTATGGCAGCCCATGCTCCTTCCCCACATCCTGGGCCGATCTAGAGGGCTCCAGGAACAGTGGACAGTGGCTCATTCCCTGACAAACCCCAATACCTAAACATCTCCCTTAGCACTGTGGTGCCAGGATCCCTAGCCCTTGGCCTCCTTCATCTCTCCACCCGCATGATTCTTCCCCCAACATCTCATGATCCGTTTTGTTCAGTTGTGAATGCTGTGCCCTGTCCTGGTGACAGGAGAACAATGTTGGTGAACGTCGCAGAGGGTGTCCTAGTATTCCGTGCGCCCATGGGAGCGGGTGGGAGAGGAAATGCAAACCGTCAGCAGGCCTTGGTGATAGCGCCCTATCTGCTGCTGCAGCTCCGGCCCACGCCGCCTCGGGGTTATTTCTGTACAGGAGGCAGCACTGTGGTCTGTGCGGCGAGCGTGAGGTGGCTGGCTCTCTGGTCAACGCCTCCCGCTCCAGAGCAAGCTGGGCCACCATCCTCTCGCCATGGACTCCCGTGAGTTTGGGGTCGTGTCTGCAGTTTCTTGGGCAGACCCAGTTTGGGAGACGTTTCGTCCGTTTATACTGCAATAGGGAGAGGGCTGGATCCGACTTAGAGGGGGCTTCTGACCAGTGCCTAGGTCGGTTGGGGTGGAGAGGTGTGCGGCTGAGGCCACAGGCCTCGGGATGGAGCCGGGCCCAGTGATCCCGATGTCCAGGGACGCCGCACAGGTGTCCCACCGGCCGACCAGCTCATCGAAGCCTTTTCTTACAGGGCCACACGGGGCGCTGAGCCTACTGCTCCTACTGTTGGCGCCCCCAAGCCGCCCAGCCACGGGTTGCCCCGCGCCGTGTAGCTGCGCAGGGACGCTCGTGGACTGCGGGCGACGCGGGCTGACGTGGGCCTCACTGCCTGCCGCCTTCCCTCCTGACACCACGGAACTGGTGCTGATGGGCAACAACTTGACCGCACTGCCACCGGGGCTGCTGGATGTGCTGCCAGCGCTGCGCGCGGTGTACCTAAGCGCCAACCCCTGGCACTGCGACTGCAGCCTGGTGCCGCTGCGCGCGTGGTTGGCGGGTCGCCCGGAGCGCGAGCCCTACCGCGACCTTCGCTGCGCCTCGCCCCCTGCACTGCGCGGCCGCCTGCTGCCCTACCTGACCGAGGAAGAGATGCGCGCCTCCTGCGAGCGGGGTCGGCTCTGCTGGGGGGCGCTGGTGGCTCAGCTAGCGCTGCTTGGCCTAGGGCTGCTACACGCGCTGCTGCTGGCGCTGCTATTGTGCCGCCTGCGGAGGCTAAGAGCCCAAGACCGTAGACCGCACGGGCTATCGCTGAACACCCCTCTGGTAGCCGAACCCGCTGGAGCTGGTGCGTCCTGAGAGAAGCGCAAAGCACGTAGGCCTGCAAACTCCACAGGACGCTGTCCAAGGATCCGTCTCCCTAACCAAGATCCCCCTGGGTCTTCTCCCCTGCCTGATCTCCCAAACCACCGGGCGGGTCGGGTCAGATCTATGTGGGTTGGAAATGTTGCCAAGACGAAGTTAGGAAACCCTGTGCCCTTCACACTTAGAAAGATGAAGGAGCCTAGCTGCAACTGAAACACTGTGGAGTCTTCCCAAACTCCACGATGAATAAACCATTTTCCTGATCTGGCTGGTCTCTGTACCACATGACCTGGAATTCCCCTCCCCAGATTCCAGAAAAGACTCCAGGAAGATGGTCCAAGGGGACACAATCATATTTTCACACAAGCCGAACTGGCCTGGCGCCTACAGGAGTCTGGGTAGATGTGAAGGTACTGTGAACAGTGAGGAAACTCAGAGCACACTCAGAGGAATAGTTCTTTTGTGTTGTGGGGGCCAAGAGGATGTTCTGAGGGTTCTGAGAACAGCTCAGAAGATGAGGTGTCTCTTATCAGTGACCCTGATRAACAGGCAGCTTTCAAAGCAGTCAGGGATGGACTGAGGTTGGGGTGATTGCATGGTGAGAATAGTCAAGTGGGGCCAGTGGTGCATCTGGAATTCCCTGGACTTGTCAGTGAATCAGCCTCTGGAGTGTATACAGGGCAGGATGATTGAGGCCATGAGAGGTGGAGTCCATGGAAGGCCCCTGCAGGTGTGAGTAGATGCCAGGTGTCTCTGGCATGTTGTGCCTAGAGTGATCCAGGACTTCTCCCACAGTTCCTGGCTCCTACAGGTCCCCTAAGTATCCTCCCCATCCCATTTCCCCATCTCACAGCAGCAGCCCCAGCCTTTGGCCCTTCTGTTGAGGCTCAAAGCCCACTTCTGCTTGAGAGTTCTGTCCCTACTAACCACCTCACAGCCTCTGCCTCCCCAGGCTCCCAGACTGCACCATCCTGACCCTACCTCCCAACTAGGACTGTACATGTGCCCTTCTTTCTGCCTGGCACACATGGCCCTTCACATTGCTGTTCCTTGCTCACCTCCTGCCTCTCCAGCTAGTGCCCACCTTACTGCCATTTTCCTCAGGAAGTCCTCTTTGATTGCCCAGACTAGCAAGGGGCCCTCCAGTCCCTGGTCTCCTGCTGTCCTCTCCTGCCCTTATAGCTGAGCAAATAGTCTTTGAGTCCTTTGTGGGTTACCCCAGTATAGCACAAGAAAGGGGCACAGGGTGCACAAATGAGGGGTGACACCTTTTTCATTATTGGAGTCAGGCTGAAAGTGCCTAGGACAGAGTCCCTCTCCTGTGTTTGGTTTGGCTCCCACCTTACTGACCCTGTGAATAATAAAGGCTGTTCTCTGAGGACCCCAAATAGGACTCAAGTCTGGGTATAGGAAGTCTCCTCACCTCTGGGTATAGGAAACCCCTTCTGGCTGCCATTGACCAGGTTGGGGAGGCTGTCACTGACATGGCCTTTGTCCTAGCCTTTGTGGGATAAGATGGATGGCCCTCCAATAGGGCTGATGCTATCTTCAGGCTGTCGATCAGACATGAGGCAACAGCCACCCCCTCCCTTGTGGGCAGGTGCAGAGCATCCGGCCCATTGTGGACTGCAGCTGACTGTCCGGTTGTCCATCCGGACTTATCACCACATCAGGGACAATGACCCCCTTTGTACAAGGAACTGACAAACTTACCCTGCAAGGGTGAGTTCTGGCATCCCCAGAACCCCTGGTGGAGGTCAGGGACAAGCAACTCTCTAAACTCAGTCTGAACATGTTGCAGGGAGGAGGTGTCCCTTCTGCTATCCAGGAGAGGAAACCAAATCCCAGAAAGGAGCTCCCTACTGGGTCCCAGAGCTTTCTCTATCATTGCCATGGGAGCAGAGCTGAGAAAGGTCCCTAGGTCCCCCATTCTCCTCCTCACTGAGGTCTTCAAGGAGCAAATTCAGGGCCTAGAGAAAATGGTTTAGGGGGCCTGGGTGACCTCCAAGCTAAAAGAAGCTATGGGAAGGAACCCAGGCCTGCTCCTCAGAAGGCTTGAGCACTCCAGGACCAGTGTTTTGCTGAAGGGGTGGACCTGGAGTCCCTGAGGGGTAGGACTATAGAGCAAGGGACCTCCATTATTGGAGGAATTAGAATGAAATCAGTGTGGTCAGACATAATGAAAAAGTCTTGCTTGCTAGTCAATGAAGCAGCTGAACTCCATGGCTCCAGGATCCCCTCCTCTTACTGGGCCAAGCTGCTGACCACAGGGGGTGCTGGCCTGGTCAGACTAGCTGGGGCCTAGGAACCTTCAATCCCAACTCTGACCCTAAGCTGACCCTCCACATGCTGACCCTGGGGCTTCAGCCTCCAAATGGGATGGGGAAGTGGATGGTCCCAGCTCAGCGCCCCTGAATGGCCCCACAAGGGGAGGGGAAATACACACCCCCTGCTCAGAGTATTGTCCTCCACTTCATAGACAACACACCTGCCCCAGGGACTCTTTTCCACTGAACAGCTGGTCTCCTTCTTGGCCTCAGATTCCTCCCAGACCAGCAAAAGTCAGAGGACCCCTTTGGAGGTCCTGTCCAGCCCCCAACATATCCAGACCTCAGGATGGTGGATTAGGGGCTCTTTGCCCTGCATCCCAACCAGCCTAATTGGACTCCCAAGGCCTCAAACTTAGATGGAGTCCCACTCCCAAGTATCCAGGCTTTCCACTTCTTTGCCAGCCAGTCCTTCTGCCCAACATGCCCTCTCTCCTGTGATTGCTGTCTGGATTCAAGGCCCCATTCAAGCACATCCTCACAGGGAGCTTCCCAGCTTTGCCTGGTCTGACACATGGCATAGGACTTTGGGTACAAACCTATTTCTCCAAAGCCTCCCAGGAGCTCAAGCCACAAGCTCCAAGTCCTGAGCACAGCCCGACAGTAAGTGGCTGATCAAAGAGGTATATAGATCTATCCCAAGCAAGGCTAGACAGCAGCCCAAGGGTAGACGCAGCAGTGTCCTGCTGCTGAGAGCCTCTATCTCCTCATTTGTGAAATGGGTGGATGTTGCCTTAAGCTGYAATGATTCCTGTACAGAGACCCATCCGGTCCTTCCTTCGGGCGCCGCGAACCAGGGATGGCACCAGAGGGCGCTCGCAGTCCGCAGAAAACACCTGCTAAGTGGCATGCGCAGGCAGAGTTGAGGGCTAGGGGTGCAGACAGCCAGGGTCTGCGGAAAAACAGGGGCCAGGAGAGGGGGCTGCGTGAGGCGGCACTAAGAGGGTAAAGCAGGTCGCCCCCTCTGGGGAGTTGCGAGGCGGGCGCTGTGGGGCCGTTGACAGACAGGGAAGGGGTGAGCTCGACTCTCTCCCCTTCCCTTCCCGGCGCACTGACAGCTCGTCAACGGCAAAGATAAGGGACCTCTTCCGCCGGGACTAGGGGAAGAGGGCCATCCCAGGTGTGCCCTTCCCCCTCTTGCTGGTGTTTGCTTGGTAAACACTTATTGGGCCCCTGCTGTGTGCACTGCGGAGGGGACGGGAGGGCTGGACTCCGAAGCTTCTAACCAGGATGCCTGGTCTGGGTCGGCAAATATTCAAGACAAGAGGCTCCGCCACCCACGGGACAATGGCTGTATTAGGGTTCTTCATGGAACTTCTCTAGCGTGGGGAAGAGTCAATGTTGGGCTGACTTGCTGGGGCCCCCCGCATGAAGGAGGCTCTGGGAAGTTCTGGGGGGCCCAAGCCCAGGTCACGTGGGGGGGGGACCGCACCCGCCGCCCAGACAGAGCAACAACATTGGGGTGGGTGGCAGAGCCCTGGGGGCCCATAGCTCACCGCACCGTCTGCGCCCACCCCTGGCGTTTCCGATGGAAGACAGGCGGCTAGTGATAAATCACC